CTCCTTGGAAACCCTATAGGGCAGTTCTACTCTGTCCTACAGGGTTGCTATGAGTCAAAATTGACTCAAAGGCAACCAGTTTGGTTTTGGTTTTGTTTGTTTTTAAATAAGAGTGACAAAGTTCCCAGAGCAGAAACCATGTCTAGTTTTTTTTTTTTATAAAAATATTTTTTTATTGTACTTTAGATGAAGGTTTACAGAACAAATAGCTTCTCATTAAACAGTCAGTACACACATGGTTTTATGACATTGGTTAACAACCCCACGACATGTCAACACTCTCCCTTCTCGACCTTGAGGACCTTTTTTTGGTGAAAATATACATAGCCTAAGTTACACCATTTTGAAAGTTTCTACATGTACAATTCAGTGACATCGATTACATTCTTCCAGTTGTACTGCTATTCTCACTATCCTTTCCCAGATTATTCCATCACCATTATCTTCAACACACTGTCCCCCAGGCTTCCCATCAAGCCTTCTGAGTTGCTGTTGTCAATTTGATCTCATATAGATAATTCTTACCATGTCTAGTTTTGTTTTGCTTTTTGTTTTAAGACCATCTAGAGTTTTAGGGATATTCAACAAAGGTTTACAAATAAGTTCTTTCAAGCAGGTTGTATGTCTGTTTCAAAGTACATCAGGAAGCACAGGAAAAATGATGCCTCCATTTCTCCCTCACATGAATTCTTGCTTTAAAGCAATCAGCTTGTTAGAATACAAACTCTGTGTGGTCAGGAGTCCTGTCTGTTTTGTTCTCTGAGTAAGCCTGGTGTACTGGCTCATGATAGGCACTCAAATGTTTGTGGAATGAACGTTTCTTACACTTACCACGACTTTGCCCCCTGGGCCCTGGCTCTGGACCGTGACGCCCATCCATTGATCTTCCTTGCTTTCCAATGAAGGATCAGCTGTGGAACAGCAGCACAGGTTACATACACAGTTAACACGTCAAAGGGGCTGAAAACAGCCTCTGTACCAACAAATCACAAAAATACAAGAAATCATGTCTAAACTGCCTTGACGCCAAGTCTAACCACTTAGTAAATTCTAACACTCAATCCAGAAAAATTATTGCTCTTCTCAAGAAAATAGGTAAGTGGTTATCTGGAAGGGTCTTTCTTAGAATCCTCTACATAAAATGCATAGCTCTGCATGGTGGCCTAGCTTGTCCCACAATCTGCTTCACCCTCTCTGACACCAGAGTCCTTAACACAAAAAGGTATTTGAAAATTGTGAGACTAAGGGGTAGCCCTCCAATATACGCCCTTAAAGCAATAATGCATGATCCAGTTTCAAAAGTCCAACTACAGTAAAACCTGCAAAAGCAGGAACCTGTGTAAGGTGGAAACCTGACAGTGAAGGAAAACTCAAAATATTTCCCACTAAAACAAGCAATAGAAAAGTGGTAAGACTGCACCGTTTCAAAGGTGGAAAACTCGCGAGACCCGGAAAAACAAGGCAGTCCCATTGAGTGCTGGCTCTCACAGGTTTCACCATACTATCCAAACTAACAAAAAGTGGGTACCTCTAAATACACTGTCAAATCTGTTACATAACAGCACAAATTGTTCTTTTCCTTACTTGAGATGGGAAGACAAGGCCTCCGGTTCATTTTAGGTCTCATAACTGACAAGTTATATCTTTTATCAATGCCAAGAAAGAGAGCAATGTATTTATTTTTAGCCAAAAAACGAATGAGGAGCCACAAATACCACCATATGCTCACTTCAATGTTAATCTAAACCCTCTGTTTAACCCTACATCTGCTCTTAAGCAGCATCCAAATTTCTTCTTTAAAAGGGGAAGGAATGTTTGCTTTCCTCAGTGAGAAGGAGGGCAAAATCTTTAACCTTAAAACATTACAAAAATACAAGAACTAAAAAACCTTGAGTAGACAGAAGGAAAAATGTCAAAATGTTAAATAATGATTACGTCTAGATACTGAGATTACCAGTAAGTTTTTTTTTTTTCTTTATAGGTCCATGTATTTTACAAGTTTCCTACAATTAACATGCACTATTTTCTCATCGGTAAAAAAAAATAACATTATTTTTAAAAGCTGAAAAAGCAAGAGAAGAATTTAAACATGAATCTGTAAATCTACTTAGGCTAAGCAAGTCAAAATCTGGCTTGGAGCTTCTCAGGACATGAATGACTCTGCCAAACCTACAGGAAACTGGGCAAACTAGATGTCAACAGGACCCATGGAATGGCATCCTCCAGCTACCCAGAGTTCTCACAAAGTGAGTATTGTGACAGCAGGGCAAATTTTACCATATTGGTCAGCTCTCATTTCAGAGAGATCTGACATTTCAACAATCTTTCTCCCAAATATTTTAACAGCAAATGACATCTTTTGGCTGCTGAGTACAAGACTGGCACATTCAACTTTATTCACTGCTATGAATTCAGTTTTTAATCCACGGCTTCCTGTAGAATCTCAGCACATCACTAGGTGGCAACATCAATACACCATATTAGTTTAGACACCAGGATTAGGAGGAGCAGCAATGCTACACATCCCACTGTGATTTAGAAAGTAAAGTTTTCAGGGCAAACTAAAAAAAAAAAAAAAAAAAACCGTTCGTTGCCAACGAGTCCATTGATTGTGACCCATAGCGACCCTATAGGACAGAGTTAGAGCTTCCCCATAGGGTTTCTAAGGCTGTAATCCTTACGGAAGCAGATTGCCACATCTTTCTCCTGTGGAGCAGCCGGTGGGTTCAAACCACTGACCTTTTGATTAGCAGCTAAGCGCTTAACCACCGTGCCACCAGGGCTCCGTCAGGGCAAACTAGTAGACAAAAACCAGTCAGTGCTACTGCAATTAAAAGAGGTCCTCCCTCCAGGAGTAAATGCTTGAACCCTCTTTCCCTTCAAACGGAAAGGGCACGTGGGGTGTAGGCAAGTCGGCCAAGTGAACAGTGTGAGGTCGGAAGAACGCACCATTGTTATCAAATTCAATCCTTGTGCACGGCCCCTGGGAGGTGATGTCACAGCTGTACAAGCCTCCCGTCCGGTTGGCCCTCTGCAGCGGAAGGGCTTTGGCCTTAGGGGCCCCCACTAGCAACCTGTTGACAAAACAGAGAAAACTTAGAGACTTAAGTTTAATACTAACTTACCATTAGGTTAGTCAGAACCAAGAGATATCAGAACTGTTCTCTGCCAAGGAGTCTATTAATTCTTCAGCAGCTGAATAGTCAGAGAGAGCAAAGGTGGAGACCGTGATTAGCTCATACAACATACACAAATACAAATGTTAAAACTATTTGCTGTTTTGTCAGTTGAGTTCCAGTGGAAGGAAAAAAAAGTCATGCTGAACATGGCAGTCCTGGGGATGGGTTACAAACAAGATCAGTTCCTAAGTGTGTCTTTAAGTCAAATTTGTAGGTAAGTCAAAACAAGTACATACGGTTCTTAATTAACCTTACTTTGGTGCAAGAAAGGAGCCCTAGTGGTGCAGTGGTTAAGAGCTCAACTGCCACCCAAAAGGTCAGCAGTTTGAACCCACCAGCCACTCCTTGGAAACTCTATAGGGGCAGTTCTACTCAGTCCTATTAGGGTTACTATGAGTCAGAATTGACTCTATGGCAACGGGTTTGGTTTTTTGGTTGGTTAGTGCAAGAAAAGGCTCGAAGCCTTCAATGATTTAAAAGCTGCACTTGCAGCACGTGAAGGTGATTGTGATGAAGAATTTGTTGCAAGTAGGGGTTGGTTCAATAGTTTCAAAGTGAGGACAAATTTACATAACATTAAAGGGCAAGTACACTTGTTTGTAACTCAGGGACGTGGTGTATGTCAAGTTCTAAAACTGTCTTCCTAAGGCATTTTTAAGGGTAATTTTGACTATATCCCTTGGGTTTTCAGTGATTCAGAACCTAATCTGTACCTAAGATACAGGTCAACTGAATTGCTCTCTTTTGCAGCCCTGGCCTCTTTCTGAGTCAATTCTTACGTCTTGGCATTCCAGTTCTCTCTGACCAGCTCCTCGTCCAATCAGTCTCCCACAAATGACTCAGGGATTCAAAGATTTGCATAGGGCCACTTATGTTCTAGGCATTGTAATATTCCTCCTTCCTTCCCACCCCAGCGTTCTTGTCATCCCCTGTAAGTTGCGGGGTGCCGTCAAGTCGATTCCGACCCATAGTGACACCATGTGACAGAGTAGAACTGTCCCACAGGGCTTCCTGGGCTGTAATCTTTACAGGGAGAAGACTGCCAGGTCTTTTCTCCTGCAGAGCAGCCGATGGGTTCAAACCACCACTAGCAGCTGAGCACTTTAACCATTGTGCCACCAGGGCTCCTTTTTCCTATAGGAGGCCCCTAAACCAACTTACTATCCTTAAAATCACATCATTTGACAGCCAGAGGGATCTTCAGAGATCCACTACCTTTCTCCTGGGCTCCTTTTACCAATGCTCTTTATTCACCATGATCGTTACAATCCTTGGGGTCTGGCTGACCAATGGAACAACCGGAAGAGAAACAAAGGGAAAGAACACACACCTCAAGGGACAGAGAGAAACAAAGAGTTGAAAGGGAAACCAGGATGGAGCTGCGGTAAAGGGCGGGGAGCGCAAACATGAAAAAACCAACAAGCTCCGGAAACAGAAAACAAGCCACTCCTGGTCTTCAAGGAATGCAAGAGCAAAAGTAAGACAATACAAACCAAACAGTCCCCACTACTTCTGTCCCTGCTGGGATCCCAATAAAGGATTTAATGCATTAAAAAACAAAACAAAACTAATACAATGCAGCTAGTATAACAGGAGGATGTGGACTTGGAAAGCAGAGCAGGGAGCAATCAGACTCTGCACAGGAGAGTCAGGCAGACAGAGGTGGCCCAACCCATCCCAGTACCATCCTCCTCCCACTCCCTGGTCAGAATCTGACCATGTACAAAGGACCAAAACAGCACACACCCCGATACAGAACTGTGCAGAGCAAACTGAAACGAGACTCAGAGGGCCCAGGAGGTGTCCTTGGTGCCTGGCTCCTCTCGACAGATGGCAGAGGTAAGGCCAGAGGCAGCAGAGCCTCTGGAGGCCCACCCCATGCCTGTTTCAGTAATGCTGACCCTAATCTCGGGAGATGACTTGTCCTAGACTGCGAGGTGAACGAATTCACTTACTCAGCAGAGGTGCAGATGGAACTGTCCTGGCACTGGGAGGGATAAGCAAGGTGCTGGGCCAGAAGCATGGGATCCAGGAGTTAGCACTGGAAAGAACCTAGAGAGTGTCTAGCCCTCTCATTTTACAGATGAAGAAACAGAGGCCTTCGAAGCGATAATGACTCTGCCCATAAGATCCCACAGCTAGTGGGTAGCCAGGACCAAATTACCTGGGGCGGTGTTTTCCGCACTCCCTTAAGCTACTTTCTAGGAAACATAACTCAGAATTTTAAGGAGTTTGAGTCTCTGGGTGGTATAAACAGTTAACGCACTCGGCTGCTCATCAAAAGGTTGGAGGGTCAAGTCCACCCAGGGATTTCTCAAAAGGAAGGCCTGGCGATCTACTTCCAAAAAATCAGTCACTGAAAACTCTGTGAAGCACAGCTCTACTCTGACACACATGGGGCTGCCATGAATCAGAGTTGCCTCAATGGCAACTGGTACAACCTTGATGAAAGGGCAAAACTGACACAAACGAAACACAAACAGGAACAGCTCCGTGTGCCGGCAGGGCTGTATTTAGCAGAATAAATACAGAAAGCTTGAGGAAAGCAGAGTCAAAGCATTATTGTAGTTGGGTGGGGTAAAGCTCAGAGAAGACATTCCTGTAAAGGTAACCACCTGCAAAGGGCAGGGGATGGCTATGAAGAGCAGCCCAGGAGCCCCAATAATATTACCATGTGTTTCTCTAACCACTTCCTCTTCTCCTCACCACACCCAAGGAGGCCCATGAGCTACCTAAGGCAAGTACTGGGCTTGTTATTTCCTGTCTGCTGCCCCTCACTCACTCATTCATTCAGCAACATTTATCAAGAGTCTCCTGGGATGAATAAAGAATTGCCTCATCCCGCAAACTCTGGGGGAGCCAGATCCATGAACAGGTCATTAAACTACAGGGAAGGAGCCCTGGTGGAACAGTGGTTAACCACTTGGCTGCTCACCTAAAGGTTGGTGGTGCAAACCCACCAGCCGCTCTGTGGGAGAAAAGACCTGGCAATCTACTCCCATAAAGATTACAGCCTAGAAAACCCTACGGGGCAGTTCTCCTCTGTCACATCGGGTTGCCAAGAGTCGGAATCAACTCACGACAAGAAACTCCAGGGAGGTAGAAGCAATGAGACAGAGTGCTGTGGACGTCCAGAGGAGGGCGCCAAAACCTGCCTGAGAGGAAGGGTGTCACAGAGATGACAGCGGAGCTGGAGTTGCCCAGGTGAGGGGCACAGCACATGGGAAGGCTGAGAGGGAAGGAACTGGAGGAAATGGAAGCGCGGGACTTGGTGGTGTAACAGCATAGGGCTGGGGGTCAGCAGTCAGGTATACAGAGCTCTGCGTGCATGGGACAAAGGGTCAGACTGGGACATATGCTGTTAAACTTGGAAAGTTTGCCCCCAATGGAGTCCCACACTTCCACCATACAGCGGGTGAGTGCTTCTGGGTTTCCTATTGTTTAAGAAGCTGTGGAGCTTTGTTCCAGTAACACTTCTTTCAGCCCCTTGGTCCTAGCTGCGGGGTACATGCTGCATGAGACAGGCTGTCTCCCTCTTGGGTACCTCCCTCCATCCTTCCACTTGTTCCCCTTCCCACTCTGGCTAACAGCAGGCCTTGAACCGAGCTTGACAGAGGAGACACTTAACTTGAGTTGGCTGGCTGGTTATAAGAGCCATGGAAACAAAATTTCACATATGCTTAAAATGCCAAACCCTTATAGAAGAGGTTTTACTGGGGGACTACTGCAGATTAAAGCAGATCACATGGAAAGATGAAAGCAGCAGCAAGGTTTTGGGAAAAAAAAAAAAAAAAAAAACACATTCTAAGAGAAAGCCACAAAGCAAGAGAAATGTACCTACGGAGAATAATATTAGCTGTCAAAGTGCCTCCCTGTGGGCTCTGCCTGCACATGTTGTCAGCACCATTCTTCCTCCCACATGCCTGGACTTCCGCACAGTGAGCCTCCACCCTCGAATTTGTCCCACTTTGGATAGAGTCAGAAGGGCTCCAGGCTCTGGGACTCAGGCTCCAGTAAGGCCAAAGGAGGAAAAGCCGCCATTGAACAGCAGAGGGTGCCCCTGCTCCAGCTATACCCTATTCCCCGGGACCATGCTTTCAGGAAAACCATGGTGGGGGGCAAGTAGAGTTAAATCGGTAGAACTGGAGTCATAGAAAAGGAGAAAAAGGACCTTGATGAGAGAACACAGTAACCCCAACTAGACTCAACAATTGGCTGGGCCTTAATCCTCAAGGTAATGCTGCCCTCACTGGTTCAGGAAGCAAGCAAAGGCTCTTAATTCTGTTTGGAACCAGCCTTAATCACAGGAGGTCACAGCCCATTAGTTAAGGCTATGCCTGGCACCAACAAATAGTGAGAACAGAGCCAGGTCCTGTCAAACAGTGACACCAGGCAATAATCCACCTATTCCCTAATCTAAATCCTTTAGGACAAGGACGCTGATTCAGACACAGCCAGCTCCAGAGCTAGCAGAGTAGGTGCAGCTCCAGGAAGAACATGGGGGGGTGGGGGGCTCAGCCTACACCAAGAGGCAGGGTTTCTGCTCAAATCCCAGCTCTCTTCCTGTCCCCCACGAGTGCCCTTTCCTGCCAAGAGCTGGGCTCTAGGCCTTGGAGACAGTTGTATGTGAGCACCAGGGTCCTCTCTGGCCATCACCAGGATGTCCACAGCAACTCCTAGGACCAGGGCAGCAGCTGCCCAGTCTCTCTTTTATCACTAAGGCACCAGGAGTATGGAGAAGTCAGAACTACAGTAACAACTCTACATTCAAAGTGAGAGAGATCAAGGGATATAAATTATGACCTTCACAGGGAAGTGGGAGAAATTAAGCAGAACAGGATCTAAGAAGTTTATTCCCAAATCAGGTCAAAAAAAGAAAAACTATCATCAACAGA